CCCTCCATCAGTGCACAAGTGCTTCCTTTTCTCCACATCCTCACCAATAGTTATTATTTCTTGTCTTTTTGATACTAGCTACTTTGACTGGTGTGAGATGATATTTCATTGTGGGTTGGATTTACGTTTCCTTAATGGTTAGTGATGTTGAGCATCTTTTCATGTGTCTGTTGGCCATCTCTTATGTCTTCTTTGGAAAAGTGTCTCTTCAGGCCCTCAGCCCAATTTTTAATTGGATTATTTGGGTTTTGTTTTGTTTTTCATTTTTTGTTTTTGTTTTTGGTGTTGAATTGTATGAGTTCTTTATATATTTTAGATATTAACCCCTTGCTGGATATATCATTTGCAAATATATTTTCCCATCCCATACAGTAGGTTGGCTTTTTGTTTTGTTGATGGTTTCCTTTGCTGTGCAGATGCTTTTTAATTTAATGTAGATCCACTTGTTAATTTTTGCTTTTGTTCCCCTTCCTGAGGGGGCATATCCAGAAAAAAATTGCTAATGTTCAAGAGTTTACTGTCTATGTTTTCTTCTAGGAGTTTTATGGTTACAGCTCTTACGTTTAGGTCTTTAATCCATTTTTGGTTTATTTTTGTGTGTGGTGTAAGATAGTGGTCCTGTTTCATCGTTTCGCATGTGGTGGTGCAGTTTTCCCAAAACCATTTATTGAAGAGACTATCTTTTCCCCATTGTATATTCTTGCCTCCTTTGTCATGTATTAATTAAACATATAAATGAGGGTTTATTTCTGGGATCTCTATTGTTCTATTTTTGTGCCAGTCCCATACTGATTTGATTGTGATAGCCGGGAAAAGCCTGGGTTGGGTCTGGCAGGTGAACTGTGGGTCTAGACCTCATCTCCCCTGCTTGGGAGAGGATCCTCCATTGAAACCCAGTAGTCTGAAGTCCTGCGGGACCCTGGAAACTTATAAGCAACATACTACTATATATTGAGGGAATTTGCTCTGAGACACATGGATTATCATTTCCAAAATCCCTAAGTAGCCCCAGAATTACTTTCCCCACATTGTGAATCATATAGTATGAGTCACTGTATCATCTTAATGGAAACGTAAAGTGCTTCCTACAGGACCTTCTTGTAGTGATTCAGATTGCCTTCTGATTTATTTTCATAAGTAAACAATTACTAGTTTGGATTAATTGAGACAAGGTATATTACTTGTGCATATAGAAGCCAATTAGTTTATCAAGCAATCAACCAGTGTATTGTTGATGAGTAAGAATTGTGGTTTACATTAAAGGATAGTTAAGAAAAAATGTGTTCATATTCATTTTGGATTATTTTAGATGGTGTATGTGCAAATGAAACATTCCTCCTAAATCCCTGCACTTTTTTAAATGGAGAATATCAAGGATTTAAAGATTAAAGATTAGTATAATGAACCATTCTGTACCCATCACCCAGCCGCACTTACCGTCTCACAGGCAATTTTGTTTTATTTATGACCCCCACCTACTTCTTGTACTTCCTAGTAAATTATTTTTCATAGGCAGTCCTGGTTGAGCTATTCCTAAATAGAGGGATTATAACTGTTTAATGAAAAGCTTTCTTTAATGGTAAAAACACACATGGTCACGAAAAAATTTTAAATATGCAAAGAAGAGAATGCGAATCTAGTCATCCGTGACTTTATGACGCTCTTAGCATGTTGCGGAACTGCCCCACATAGTGCACATCCAAGATGCCCCACGTCCTGCCCTCAGCAGCAGCCCTTGGCAGGCCTCGCCCTGGGCAGCTGCATTCCACCTGGAACCATCCTCCTCCTCCTCTGTCTTCACCTCCGCTTCCATATTTATATCCCTTCCTTCCCTACAGAATATCAGTCATGTGCTCCCAGAGACAGCATTTGCTCCTTAATTATGTGGCGCGGCGGACTGCTGGCATCTGGGGAAGGGATTGGTTCCTTTTGTATCCCTGTGGCCAGCACAGTGATTCAGTGAACATTCCCTGAAAGAATCTTACCACCCAGACAAAACCTGCCCTTACAGCGCAGTGACCTTTCGCCCTTTCAGAGGGAGTGGACATAAGGTTTCCACACTGTACGTAAAGCACAACCTGAGGATTCTGAGGAAGTTCGTTAACCTGTATGCCACAGTAGCAGCAGGAGAAAACAAAATCATTCACGGAGCGCCCACAGGTGTGGGCTGAGAAAGGTGGAGCGGAAGTGGTTTGATTTGGCTTCTGATCACTAAGTGTAAGGAACTGGCTGCAGCCACTTCCTTTTGCAACTTATCCTCTTTTGTGGCTGCCTATCAGGTGAGCGTCACTGGGGTCTGGCCGCTTCAGGGCCACCCAGGGGCAGCCTTGTTTGTGGGCTCAGATTCCCACGGGCTCAGCTTCGAGCCCCTGCTCGCATTGATAGACATGACAGACCAAATGAGGGATCCAGGTCCATCTCCCCTCCGACGTGAGCGGGCTAAGATCCACCCAGCGCAGGGTGAGGCACCTGGCCTGGGGAAGGGGCTGCAAAGAGAGGGCCATCCAGGTAGTCACCAGTGGCTGGGGGCCTGGGCCCCATGGTGAGGGCCGAGCATTGGCCTGGAAACAGGCAAACCCAGGTTTGGGGTCTAGTTCAGCCTCTTAACCAGTTCAGGTATCTTGAACTACTCTCTTCACCAATATAAGCCTCAGTTCCATATCTACAAGCCAGTGAAAGACTCACCTTGCAGTATCATTAGGATGAGAAAAAAGTCCTGTTTATAGCGCACATGCTGATGGGCCCACTATTGGTAGCCATTATTATTAGCTAATTTCAATAGGCCATCTCTACCAAGAAAGGGAATGTAGACTCCAGGTTACCAGTAGGGCCCAAGGTGTACCTTTTCACTAGTCCATGGATTTTGCTTCCCAGTTAATACCCGCAGTAGCGTGTTGCTGTAGACTGTGGTCTCCGGCACACAGACCCTCAAAGCTGGCTGCACAGCAGCATCCGTACAGAACTTACTCATGTAGACAGACACCTGCTACTGTGATTCAGAGGGCCTGCGTTTGGAGTCTGGGCTTCTCCCGATCCTCAGACCTACCCGTGGAAATATCCTCTGCAGTGTGCCAAGTCCTGAAGTATGGGGCCCTCCCAGCACCCACCTCGTCATACAAACCATCACGGTTTGTAGTCGCCCTTGGGGTTCATGACCACCTTTGCCAGACCGATCTGGGGGCTTATTTAGCTCTCTGGGGTCCACATCAGACCCGCTGACCTTCAATCCCTGCTGGTCGTGGTGATTTCATAGCTCCACTGTAGGCCAATGTATGTTTATATCCTGCAGGGTAAACGTGCCGGCCACATGAGTCGGGCATGCAGGGTGCTATGTTCCTCCTCTTCCCACTTCTCCCTCCTCTATTGCTGGGCACAGGCTCCAGGGCCCCACTTACAATCATTTAAAGGCCCTTTTTGTACAGCACATACATCTAGAAACCAAAATAGAATACAATGTCCTCCCAATAAACTTCATTCTTTTAAAAATCACAACGAAATATGAAAATGTAGCTTCCCTATGATATTTTCTTAGTGGACACTGGGCAGCTTTATTAAGCCACTTGAAGTTATCTTAGAAGAAGGAACATCCTTTATTGAATTTTACATACACCTGTAGTATGAACGTGTCATGATTTTACTGCAAAACTTAATTTTATTCATGTGTTGGGTTGTTACCTAAAACTCTATGAGATCAGACGTGGCTGAGGTGGTGTTTTATATTGTATTTTAAGTGACATACAGCTGCAGAAGACAGGCATATTCATAAACTAGGGATTGGCCAGTATTTAAAGAATGGTCAAGGTTTGCGGTTGTTGGTCATAATTGTTTAAGGAACAGGCCACAGAGCCAGGCCACCTGACTGCCACTCTGCCAGAGGGGCTGCCCTGAGCCCCCAGCCCGGCTCTTGGGTGGTGCCTCTTTTGAACAGTGTAAAGCCTTCCAATAGCACCTTTCTGCTACTGCAGGTTGGCAGTTTCCTGCCTCTGGCCATTACTTCCTCCAGATAGGGAGAAAGGTTTGGTCTCCTTGTGCCTCAACAAATCAGGAAAATGCTTTCCTAAGTGGCTGTTCCAATAACTAAGTGTTCCTTGCCATCCTCTACAAGAATCACCATCTGCTCTTCCAAATTTTTCTGGAAAGAGCATCATAACCATGTCATCCTGACAGTGATGCTATGGGGAAGAAGGAGCACCTTCTTCTATTTCCCATTCCTTATGCCCACTCCTGCACCCGCTCTGCACAGCCCACACAAGCCAGCCACCATGGGAGACATCTGTTTCCTGTGTCACTTTCTGCAAGACAAGGACCAACCTCAAAAAGAGATTGCAGCCTCCTCAAGAAGGTGGGCCATGTAGGGACTGTCCTGGGGCTTTTCTCTGATTGTCCAGGCGTGCAGCTGCATGCTGGGGCCTCACACTTCAGCTTTCAGTCTGAGTTACACAATTTCCAGGCTACCCTGCAGTTTCTGCCTCCCCAGACGCAAGCTGTTTACACAGCTAACTTTTATCCACAAAGCATCCCCAGGATGGCTTTCCTGTTTGGAAGATGGATGGCTGTGCCCCAAGTTTTGCCTACCTAAGACCCCTTGAGGAAACAGATCAGGCTGACAATCAGGAGTACGGAGCTGCCTTTGTGACACCATTAACACTCCGATAAAGTCTTCTGACGAATAATGGCCCTACCTCTTCCTTCCCCATGTGTCCATCAGCTGGTAATGATGGTAAACATGGCAGAAGCACCCACACCCCTTCCAGAAACCCCAGGACTCATTTTGGGAAATATTTTCATAATTCAAGTCTTTTGAGAAATCGAAACTTATTTCTTGCACTTCATCTGATCTTTCTGCATCGGTATTGACTCCTGCATTGAGGGGAGGCCCATTGCCTAATGGTGCTTTGTAATTTTAAACCCATCTTCCCTCCTTTCCCCTCATTAATCAGGGAAGCCCCCCTCCCACTCCTGGTTTTCCATGACAGGTGCCAAGATGATCACATCTCATGCATATTTTCAGAAATTATTTATTTCACACATTTACAATTTTCACTTTAAATGCAAAATAGCTGATGAAAAGAAAAGACATTGAAAAACATACTGACTCTTTGCCTCATATACAAACGACATCAGCCTTTGGTATTTACTTTCAGGTAATTAGGTAAAAAAATAAAAACTAAACTTAGAAACTATTATTTCTCTCCGGAAAAAAAACAACATGAAGTTGAGGTATTCTATTTAATAGATGTGCGAGCTCCTTCCAAACACGGTTTTATTAACAGCCTTCCTACTTGCTGTTCCAATCCTTTCCTTCTACAGCAGATCTTTTGAGCGTATGTTCATAAAACCGACACTGGTCCTTAATAATCATTAAGGTTGTCATAGAAACTTGCTGGCGCTGGCCCACATGGAGGACATGATGCTGGAAGGACCTTTGGGGAACGCCAGCACGGAACCTGAGCCAGCGGCCGTTCCTTCCAGTATCCACCCTGCCTCCAACTGCCGCAGAGGAAAGCCGGCGTTCGTTCCCACGCTCTGAAGGACCACCAGTTGTTCCTGCTTCTCCAAGTTGGGATAAATCTCTCACCAACTCCACCTGGAGCTGGCTGTCAGACTCCTCCCCGGATGGGTCAACCTCAAGCTCTGATGATGGCAAATGTATTTGCTGGCGATATAGCTCAGCACCAAGGCGCCCAGGTGAGGCGTTCCTGAACGCTCTGCAGGAACCCCACAAACCACGCCCCCTCCCAGCCTGCCCCACTGGGCTCTGTTCACCCCAGGTGCGCCCCCAACCTTGCTCCCGCAGAAGATGCCGCACCTCGTAAAGGTGTTTCCTTCCCTTGGGACAGGAGGGAAGTGGCAGAGGGGACTCCGTGGAGCCCAGAGCCTGGCAAACAACCGCAAGGGCAAAGCTCCATCAGCGTAAAGAGCTCTCAGTTACCAAAGGCTTTGTAGGCACATTCCAGGATACCTCCTTGACATTAACAAAAAAAAATTTTTTCATTAAGGCTACAAGAATTAATGACCACTTTAGACCTTGAACCAGCATATTTTTCAACTTTTCCCACCCAGCAGGATAAGTTGTCATATTTAATACAAATTGCTGCTGCCCCCAACATGGATGAACCTAGAGGGTATTATCCTAGCTGAAATAAGCCAGGCAGAGAAAGACATACCAAATGATTTCACTTATTCGTGGGATATAACAAAGCAAAACAGAATGAACAGCGGTAGATTCACAGATGCTGAAAGTGACTGATGGTTGCCATGGGGGAGGGGTTGGGCTGGGTGGGGGAGGGGAGGGAGGATAAAGGGACACAAAAATTCTCAATCATAATATAAGTTGGTCACAGGGACAGTAGTACAGCGTGGAGAATATAGTCAATGATTCTGCAACATTTCCCTATGCTGACAGTAACCGCACTAGGGGGGTGAGGATTTAATATGGACAACTGTTGAACCACTGTGTTGCCTATTTGAAACCAATATAAGATTGTATATCAACGATACTTCAATTTAAAAAATTGCTATTGTCGTTTGTTTTACATTTCACATCTGGCTGTGTAGCAGATTATTACAAGAGTCCACCATTGTTGAGAATAAAAGCATGCGTGTGCTGGCTGCAGAAACACAGGTAAGAATGGCCTGTGGGTTGAAACACATGTTCACTGACCATCATCAATTCAAGGACAGAGAAAGCTTACAGTATCCTGAGCTAGGCCTATCACCCAGAGAAGACGAATATTTTTCCTTCATTTCCACTAGCTTATAAAAAATAAAATAAAGGGGGAAAAAAATACCCCTCTTCGGTATCCAAAAAAAAAGCAGTTCCGTTACAATAATAATGAAAGCAATAACAATTTGGAGATCAAAGCTGCCTAGCTCTCAGCAATAATGAGCTATCTGGATTTCACATCTTCCATTAGCAGGGCTCTGCCTGGCTTTGGTGATGTCACATGTGCGTAGACCCTTGTACAGTCAAAGAACTGTGGTCACGGAATCACCCTTTCTCATCTGCAGAGTCTCATTTTTGCTATTTCCCTTTAACAGCATTTTTGCTGTCCTCAGAGAAACTTTATAAAGGAAAAAACCCACCTGCCTCACTTATGTCAATTTATGATTAGCTGCCTAAAGCAGGAACAGGGGCTGAAATTTACAAAGCCAGCAATGAAAACCCCTCTGCGCCCAAGATAGTAACTGTTTGAACCTGGCGAATGGTAAATAAAACAGGTCATTTTCATCCTCCTGCCACCTGTCCCTTGATGGTGGTTGTTTTTTGAAAAGGGTAGGTAGGCTACTAGAAAAATTTGGTGGTCTGGTACATTTGTAGTTGTGGTTACATGCCCGATTCTAATCATAACTTCATTCCAGGATGCCCCATGATACCTGAGCGTGCTTATTTGGATAACCACTAACATCACTGAATATTCAAAGCCTGGACTGAAAAGTGAGCTCAAGTGATTTAGTGGCATGTCCTGGTTAGACACCGAGTGGGTGCTTCGATTCTAGTGGAACTGAATCAAATTCAAGGAACTAAATAAAAAGACCAAAGAACCAAGGTAAGGGATTTTCTTTTTTTCAATAAACTTCCCTCTGTTAACCGTGGGCTCCTGGCTTCCTCAGGTGGGGATTTTCAACAGACCTTGCTTGGGAACTGTAGGCGGCTTGCTTCCCAGCAATACGGCCAGGTGGGAGCTGGATACCATTTCCTTCACCGCCGCCTGGGGGAGTAGTTAACCAGCTGCTTTTCCCCTAATTTAGAGATGAGGCAGTCTGTTTTTTCACTTTTTAAGACAAAAACAAAATTTAGAATGAATCCAGTCTCTTCTCTACTAGGGGGAAATATTTTTTCTCCTCCTCCTTTTTCACATGGCTCCATTTTGTGCTAAACAAAATGACTGTGCTTTGCCCCAAGTTATTTATATACTGACACTCAGCTAATACTGGGTCTTCCAACCCTTTCAAGAGAAAATAGCAATTTTTTGAAGAGTGAATTAAAAGACACTCTTGCTTGGTTCTTTTTATGTTTTCATGTTAAGTATCTCATCGTCCCTAGTTACTCAGGCTCAGTTGGAAACAAAACAAAGCTGGAGTGAAACAGTTTTGATCAAACCAATGGTAGAAGCCCCCCTTCTTTTGAGGGGGACAGGGGCAGGGGACAGAGAACATTGCTTTTCTACAGGAAATATGAAGAGCCTCTTCTTCCCTCCTGCGGAAGTCCTGGTATCCAAAGCGGGAAACTGAGCAGTAATTTGCTTCTGAATTCAGCAAGTGCCTAGGATTATCATTTGCATTCAGCAAAATGCTAATGAGGAACTAATTACAATTCCACATCAAACCATCAGGCCCTGAGATACTATCCATCCTCCTCAGCAGTTTTTCAGGTGCAGACAGGTGAGAGCCTTCCCCAGCCTCAGTGGTTTAAGGAAGGTTGTCCTCAGGCCTAGAAAAACTGAATTATAAAGGCACTTGGGTTTCAAGAATTTGAGCTAGAAGATGAAACTGTGCAGTGGGCCAGGAGATGGGCAACCAGGGGAGTCTTTGACTGGAAATCAGGCCTCCTGCTTGCGGGTGCAGCTCGCGGGAAGGGGCATGCAAGCAGCCAGCAGTTTGTCCACACCAAGCCTGGTGGGTCCCAGGCCTCCACAACTGCCCAACTCTACCCACTTGGGTGTCCAGTGGGGCCTTGGCACTGCTCTTTCCATGGAGGCCTGAGTGCACGCTGATCCCCTTAAGCAGAGCATTTAGGTGAGGGCGGCTCAAACACTCAACCACCTCTTCCTTCTGAACAGCGGCAGCAAATCTATTTTCACCCAGCATAGAACCTTCTGTGAGGCCCTTCTGGGATGTGAAACCAGAGGCCCCACACACCTGAGACGAACTGGAACGGCAGTGAAAGCGTCTTTTGCTAAGCCAGTTCATGCTGCGTTGTCCACACAGTTCAGCAGGTCTGACCCCCCAACCTGCCAAGCATACCCAGCCAACTATCTGGGGAAGAAGTAGTCCCTATTGCTGATATCATAAGGGCTCTGAGGGCCCCTGGCATCTGGCCGGCTGTGCCTCGAGATGTTGTCAGACCCAAGGCTGCTGGGGGACACTGGCGGGGAGATGAGGGGAACCAGCACTGGGGTGGGCTTGGGCCTCTCAGAGACCAGCTGTCCCAGAGAATACGGCGGGTGCATGTTCGTCTTGCCTTCTCTCAGAGCCTGCAGCTTCCACGTCTTCTTGAACCTTCACACAGACACACAAAGACAAACCACACAAATGTTTAGTTCCTCCTGTGAGGAATCCTAGTGAAAAACACCAACAGCTGGCGGCCCCGGTGGCCTGGCACTCCTGGGGTTCAGCTCTGAGTGATAACTATTTATTCTGTCTGCTCTTTATTTTGCCACCAGGAATTACACAATACTCTGGAGAGCTGGAGTTTCAAAAACACCTCAACAATAGGTATGTATCACTGTTCCAATTTATAAATGGGGAAACTGAGGCACCTGTTTATAGCACGGAGACCTTAATTCATCCTGTTCCAGAGGCTGCCCACAGGTCCACATCATCAGTCCCAAATCCATTTACTTAAAAAAGAATACTCTTTTGGTGGGGAAAAGAAATGGGCCCCAGAGTCAGATTAAGGCTGGCAGGAGGCAGATAATCTGCAACTGCGATTTAAAGGCAGCAGGGCTCTTCTGCCCCTAGGCAACCCCCCCTGTTCCATCAGCTTCCAATAGTCCTGTCCCCCCAGTCCTTCCTACACCACAGCCCACTCCCACCGACCATGCTAGTGAGTTCTCACACTCAGCGGTGGGCACCACTCGGGCACAAGTGACTCATCTCACAGGAAAGCTGATGTTAAACAGGAAGGAGATAGACATCTCTCTGATCACAGCTTCGTTCACACTGCTCGGCTCTGGGCCCCCCGCCAGGGCTCACGGTAACTGAGCAAGGTCACTTGACAGCCCAGAGAAAGACAGACAGTGATTGTGATCTTCAAAGGTAGTCAGGTCTCAGTCCTGATAAGAGCCCTTCAACTGTGCTGGGCAGCCAGGGCCAGAGCCGCACCTCCTTCCCTCCTGCTTCCCACCTTGTGGCCCACTAATGTACTGCCTGCTAACCCCAAAGCGGGGCCGAGGTGGGCCCCCTCAATTCCACCACCATCAGCTACTCCAGGAAGGGCTGAGAGGGAGGAGGGGAAACCAATGTCAAAAACAAGGTTTGGGGATTTTCCTTGGATTTCTTTTTATATCGACAGGCTATTCCTGTCCTTGTTATGATAAATAATTGATAGTTGGCTGCAAATCTGCCACTGGCTCTTAGCCTATTATAAAGGAAATGAAATAAACAATGTGCAGAATGTTAGGGTTTCACCCTTCAGGCACTACACAGGAAGGGGGCACTGCAGGGGTGCTCACTGAGCTATGCTGGGTCCTTGGGTGGAATTCTCCTGCCTCTTATGAGAACTGAGGACAGAGTCCTTACACTGATTTCCAAATATTCAGACTCTCTGACCTTGAAATGCGGCTGCTGGGAATACACCCTAAGGAAATAGAACAGCTGTGGACAAAGCTATATGCACAAAGATGTTCAACACAGTGGTGTTAATAAAAGCAAACAACATTAATGCCCCATAATAGGAAGCTGGTTAGGTGAACTTGGGTCTATCTGCCTAATTGGGAGTCTGCAGCTAATGAAAGTGAGGTTTACAAAGAATTTGTAATAATGTGAAAAATGCTTAGGTTAAAATTAATGCTAAATTCAACAGGCAGGATTCAGAATTGTAGACACAGATTACTCACTGCTACTTAACAAACAAGCAACTAGGCAGAGGAAAAAGACTCAGGAAATTCATCTAAATTTTATAGAGCTGATCTGAGTGCTGATTACATGGGTGTGTTCACTCTGCAAAAATTCGTGGAGCTGTACACTTATAACGTGCACTTGTAGACTTTGATCACATTTGCATTTTAAAAATCAACAGTAGCTGTCTTTGCATGATGTCTTCTTTCTATTTGTTAGAATTTAACAAATTACGACTACATAGCAAATGGCCACATATCACAACTTAAGTCTCTACTGATATTATTTAATGTTATTTAACCAATATGGAAAGCAGTCTCTGTCCTCAGTTTCATTTTAAAGCAACTGGATAAACAACTAAGAAAGATGGGCTCTCCTTTTCTTGAAATATGTTGAGGAGTGGATGAGACACTCGCTGCAAAATCACTAAGCTCAGAGGGCCTTTGATATCAGCCACACCTGGTATTATCCCAACCTGGGCTGGGGTCTGAGCAGGCCTGGCGGCTAGGAGGGGGCGTGGGGCAGGTAGAAAGAACCAACATCTGAACTGTCAGACTTTAGTTGCCCCTCGACCTCCACCTTTTATCTATTTTGTATATTTGAGTTTCGTAACATTTTATTTAAAGAAAAGGATCTGCAGCTAAAAGACATTTTAAAAAACATTCATAATAACTGTCACTCTTTAAAAAAAATAAGAAGTAAAAACCCAGACCTAGCAGGAAATACCTCCAGTCCAAGGGCACCCACTTCTGTGCAAGTCCCCCTGTCCTCACCATGGAAGTGAGAGAGTCTGGGATTTTATAACACTGCATTCAATGCAAAATGGTTTAAATCATAGGTACATTCATGGAAAGTCCTCACCTAATAGTGTCATTCTAGATAAATGTGCAGGAAGTAATTCTCTGCTATGATAATCCTATTTTCCCAGGACTGATACAGCATAAAATAGAATTGCCGAGGCACAGGAGTAGGGTAGGGAGACCTGGCCCCTGGAAGTTACAACGTCCACTTAAGAAGATGGCCCATCTTTTTCAATGACATGTTTAAATTTCTTTAAATTATCAGTGGTATTGGTGGAAAAACATTTAGGAAAATACTATGCTTTGCTTGAGACACAAAATAATGTATTCAAAAGAAAAGTAACCGTATCATGGACTGGTAGGATGTACTTCAACCTGCCTCACACATTCTGCCTGTTGTAGCGTGGCCAGCCTGGCGGTCACTGCGGTTCACCATCCTGGCACTTCCAAACTCCCACAGATTCTCTATGTTTATGCCCTTTTCTCAACATGAGGGACTTTGGGAGAGGAGAGGTTTTTTCATCACTTGATATAACTGGTCTTTTTCCAAACACATTTGGAGGAAACGGAAACTCATGGGCTAAGAAATAAATTACCAATATGTTCTCAGCATGGGGCACCTGCCCTGGCTGTGCATCCAGGGACTGGTTGTGCAGCAACGAGCCAGTGTCCAAGCACCACCAGTAGGTGAGCAAATGAGGTTAAACACGGTGCCCATTGCCCAACCTGACGCTTCTCCATTAGTGGCTAAAACCCAGGGGGTTAATAAGATGACTGCTTGTTAAGGACACCACTGGCCAGCAGTGGACTGGTAAAGCCAACTAACTCTACCTCTTAGCTGGCAGCAGCCTAGCATGGTGGGCAGGGACTCTCAGGACCCGGGTTCTAGTCCTGGCTATGCTACCAACAAGGGTCCTCAGGCAGCCTGCTCACTGCTTCTTTGGGAGATCAAAGTGGAAACAACCCTGAACTCAGTCTAAGTTGTCATCTTGCTCATCTTCCAACCCAGACCGCCTCGGGTGGCCAAGCTCTCGTTCAGGGTCTCTGTGACGCTCCAGTGAGCTGTCGTGTTGAAACCGCTCTGCCAAGCTCTTATGCCTCCTGCCAAATACCCTCAAACCACCTCTCACAATCACCAACTAGAGTCCCTAAAGAGTTACACACAAAGTAAGAGAAAGAAAGGGCAGACCCAAGTTTCTCTTCCACTTTTATTATCATCATAAACCACCATCCGAAGTCAGGGCCCAGCCCAATCTCTTTTAGGACTTCAGCATATGCAAAATGTATAAGTTCTGGCAGTAAAATTAGAAGTTTTCTTTATTGCCCCTCCATGGGGAGCCCTGTTAGCTGATTTTTCTGCAAGGTTGGCAATAATGGCAAAACCAGTGACCCCCCTGGAGCAAGAGAGAGACTACGATGAAATGGGCACTTGCAGCAGCGGCCAGAGGGGCACCAACCCAGCCTGAGGGTCTCCTAATCGTGGCCGGGAAAGAGCCCGAGGACAGAGCATTTAAAGGTATCCCCCCAGGTCTGCTTGTTTTGAGACATGGAATGATCCCAGGCACCTAGGATTTACCTGTGTACATACTTCTTGTGTGGCACTTTGATCATTTTAGTATCTAGGTCTTGGAAGACAGGGAAGGTCCTGTCTTCATACAGCAATTCCAGAGCCTAAGGTTTCTCTTCAGCATCTAACATACATTCTTCTCCTTCTGCTTTTCACTGCCATGTTTTCTTGGTTCTTCTCTTCCCTCTCAGGCCACTGTCTCAGCTCCACCTCATCTACACAAATTTCCAATGTTGGGATTCCACAGGGTAGTCACGACCTTATTCCCACCCTCTCCCACGACTCCGACCCCACCTACATGCTGGCCACAATCTAAACCGTCTGCCGAATACATCCGCGTGGGGCTTTCACAGAAACCTCAAGCCCAGGGGTCCCAAGGTAGACCCCCGTTTTTCACTCATTCTTCCTCCAGTGATTCCAGGCTTAGGGAATAGCCCACCACCTGCCCAGCGGCTGAAGCGAGGCACTTGAAGGTCACACTTGACTCCTCCCTCTCCTGCTTTCTCCTCATCCAATCTGTCCTCGAATCCTGTCACCTCTACCTCTAAAATGTATCTGGAGTCACTCGTGGCCCCCTAACCATTGCCACCAGCCTAGCACAGGCAAAGCCAGGGCCATCCCGGGCCCATCTCACCTCAGGATGATGCCAATGCAGAGCAGCGTGCCGAAGGCCAGGCTTCCGCCAACCACCAGGTAAGTGGGCAGTGCAGCCGAAGAGGAATCTTGCACTAGAGAAAAAGAAGGCGAAGATGAGGAGAAAGAAAAGGAAGAAGAGAAAAACCCCTTGGCTAGGGCCATCAAAGGCCTCAAAGGAGCCTCAGCCCTGGAGGAGGCAGCTCTGCCACTCAACGGGCCACCTTGTCACCAGCTTTCCAGTTGCCTGGCCAAACTCAGCTCTAGACCAGTCACCCCAGCAAAATCCGACAGACCCCAGGATTCTGCCCCTCAGCAAGAAAATCCGCCTCACGTGCAGAGCTTCTGAGCTCCTGCGGCCAGCCAGACTCCCGCTCGCTTTCAAAGAGGCTTTCCTGGGGGTGTTTTCAGCCTGCCCCCACAAGGCACGGAGGGGCGCAGGACACCAGAAGCTCTGGGGACCTCGTCAGTGGCAGCGCCACTGAGGACAATGATGGGAGGCTCAGGTGTTTTATATCGAGTGTTTGGATGCCGTTTTCTCCAGTGGCGTCTCATCTCTTGTCTGTCTCCCCACTTGGTACCCAAGCCCCAGCCACGTGGGCTTCAATGGTTCACCCCATCTATTCTCTCTCCTCCCACGGTGCCTTCTCTCTTCTCTCCCAGGACACTCTTTGCTGTCCAGTCCCTACTCGGTCTTTGGATTGCACGTGAGTGATGCCCTTTCCTTAGAGAAGTGACCCCGCTCTGAGCTGGGTAAGTGCCCTCCCAGTCACCTCACAGCTTCGCCTCTGCACCGAGCTCCCTGAGAAAGCAGGGGCCACACGTGTCCTTGTCACTGTTACTCTCCCAACTGCGCACACAGCGCCTAGCACAAGGCAGGCTCACCAAAATTTCATTGAATGAGTGAAGGAACAAACTAGCTTTACAAGTAGCCATGTCCTTCCATAGAAAGGTCCTTCCCATGGCTGCCCGAGAGAGAGACCTGGCTTGGGCACATTCAGTATATCCAGAGTGCGTCTAAGCATGGCCATCATTCTCTCTCCCCAGGAACAGATACTTGCAGGCTCATGGACTCAAGATTCAGCCTCTTCTCCCCGACAGGAGATCCACTGCTGATGAAGATGCCCCTGGCAGTCACCACTCTGGGTGCCCGCTGGATGCAGGCTTTGCCATGAATCCTGACTAGTAGGGTATTGGCTGCAAGGACAGGTCTCTCCAAGCCTATCCTACGTCTCTTGGCAGAGACAGCTGTTTACTGGAAGCAATATGCTTGGTTTACTCATTTACTAATATTTCAACATCTTTTGTACTTGTTCCTTCGTTCAACAAATATTTATTGAGTGTCTATCATGTGCCAGGCTTTGTTCTAAGCCTTGGGGACACAGAGAAAAAGGATGACATAAAAACTGTTCCTGGATCTTACATTCTAATCAAGGGAGACAAAGAAATAAACATGTAATGTGACGTCAAGAGTGACAAGGGCAGTGGTGAGAAGTAAAGCACAGGGAAGAGAGCAACAGGGGCAGGGTGGCTGTCAGATGGGGTGGCTGGGAAAGGCCTCCCTGAGAAGGGGACATTGAGCAGAAACCTGGATATGCAAAAGAACAGGTCAAGTAGAGGTCACAGGAAGAGGTACAGGCAAAGCAGGCAGCAGGTGCAAAGGCCCTGGGGAAGAGCATATGTGGAAGAGCAAAGAGGGCACAGTGAGCGAGATAGAGAAGAGAAGAGCTAGAAGGCCTGATGCCCCAGGGACTAGCGGCTTTGTTAGGACTTTGGTTTTTACTCTGGGGGGGGCGGGTGGTGGTATGAGCCAGGGACAACTGGGATTTGTCTTTTAAGAGTCACCCTGGCTGCTGGTTGGAAAAGAGTCCATTAGGGATTAAGACTAATAGCCAGTAGACCAGCAGGCAGCTCCCATAGTCCTGCAGGATGGAAGAGAACAGTGACTGGATCAGTGTGTTGGCAGTGGGGATGCACACATCTCAAGGTACAACTGGCAGGACCTGCTACGGGCCTGGACGCAGGGTGAGGGGTAGAAGAGGAAGCACACCTGACCCCCCAGGTCCAGGCAACACAGTAAATGCGGTGTCAGTTTCTGAGATGACAAAGATAGAAAGGAACAGATTTGGGTCAGAGGTGGGGAGACATCAAGCATTCTGTTTTAGGTATGTTAGGTCTGAGATTTCTGGTAGGTATCCAAGTGGACATGTCAACTAGGCAGTTGGAGAGATGAGTCTGAGTCTTAGTGGAAAGGTCAGTGATAGATATTAATTTGGGAGTCATCAGCCCACAGATGGCCTTTAAAGACATGGGGCTGGATGAGATTATCACTGAGAGCAGATGGAGAAGACACACCCACCACAGCCCTTGAACTGCTGCCCCAACTTCCCACCATCCCACCCACATCATTCAAGGCCCATTTCAATGGCTCCTCCTCTGTGGACTTTCTGTGATTCCCCAACTGGACATCTCAGATCTCTAAACTCCATTTTGCCGTACCTAAGCCTCCCTTTTGGCCACTACCATACTCTGCTCTGTGTCAATAGTTACTACTTTACTCTTTTTCAGAACCTGCCCACTGGACTGGAGAGCAGGGAATGTTCAATTCCTGCCGAGTCCCCAGCTGTGCAGACTTGGCCCTGGGTAGTTAGTAGGTTCTCCCTAGGTGCACTGCACTATGGCAGGGCTTTGCCATTGGCAGGGTGCAGCCCAGGCAGCCAGCATCAGGTGCAGGCACGAATCCACTCAGGTAGGTAAGTGCAGTAAGGCCGATGACTTCCTCAGAAAACCCAAGAGCCATCTAATGAAACTGTTCAACTACTGAACCTCCATGATTTCTATTCATATAGTAAAACAAACACAGGACCTATGATCTTTCTCAGTGCAAATGTTGGTAAGTTTTCCTGGAGTTCCCAGTATAGGGAACCAGAAGCATTGAAATCCAGGACTCCTGAGAAACAGATTTCCCTCAACATAATTCCATCTCCGACTCCAGTAGTTTTGTGTGTAGGACATTTCATGCATTTGCATTCTGAGCCATACATGAAATATTTCACTGATTTGTCCCATTCTACTTATGGTCCCCTCACTACGTCATAGCTAACAATATCAAACTGGACTATATGAGGTAGTTAAAGACTATTTCTGCCATTAATCCTTTTCATTTGACAGAATGGCCTTCTGCCAACATTTTCAGATAAGAAAGGATTTTTGCAGATACAAGTCTTTTGTGCCCTTACAAACCATAGGAATACAAAAATATCCAGTACTGACCTGGGAAGCTTGTTGCATTTGCAGAATCTTTAGGGAGAGTATTTTCATCATCTTCAGTAGTAGTAGGTGCCTAAAAGAGACATCCCTCCCCATAAGTACATTTCTTCTGCAGATTCTGCCAACATTTGGGACCCAACCCAGGAGCATCTCCTCCTTAACCCACTCCCTGACCCACCCAAGGCATTCCTTTCTCTCTCATGGACCTCTCCACTTCTGACCTGTCACCCTCAAGGTCAGTACTATTATCTGTATTATTTGTATCTACACCTTGCCTATACCAGGTGGGGATTTCATCCCATCTGCCTCTCCACCAAGAGTTTAGGGGCCCAGCGCTGGCCACAGAGGAGATAGATACTCAACAGCTACACTGTCCTATGGGTCTTGTGCCAGTGTGGAGGTACCACCACAAACTGGGAAAAGCGCAGACTGGAATCCCAGATCCACTATTTACTAGCTATGTAACATTGGGTAGATTTCTTTTTTGGTATCATCAATGTACAAGTACATGGGCAGATTTCTTAATGCACGTGGGTATAAATTTTCCTCCCTTGTATGCACTGGCACCCTGAATCTTGGTTAATGTAAGGATCAGATCAGAGAACAAGTGAAAGGCTTACAGCCTAGCACGCCTTGGCAGGTTCTGCCAGTGTCGGCTGCCCTGCACCCCGCCTGGACTGGCAGTGCTCTGACTCCACACCCTGGAGCTGCTTCAGTCAGTGCCTGGATGATTCTGCATTAACTGTTTTAAAGTGTGGGACCCTGGGCTCCCTCCCCGTGCTGTCCAGCGCCAGCCGTGGCTGAGCCTCCCAGCTTAGCATTTAGGGAATTAAGAGACCACAGGAGGAGGCACAATTGGATGGGAAATTGGATTACTCAAGGATTTGTTGAGCAGCTTCAGAGGTAATCCTCTTTCCAGATAATTATGACACCAGGAGTCCACAGGGGAAGGGCTCAGATGAACTGAATCTGAGTCGCAAGCTAAGCCATTAGTGGTGTCCGGAAGCTTCAAGATGAAATAGCAGCCACTAGACGGAGCCGGTTCTGTGAGCTGGGCCGGCACTGCTCCACACTTTACCTGGCTGCGACAGCCCTGGACAAGAGAACTGCGATGACCCCATTTTACTGAGTCCTGAAAAGGACAGGCAACTTGCCACAGTCACACTTCTAGTAAGTGGCAGAGTTGAGATTTGAGCCACATTCTGTCTGGTGCCAGCCCCAAATCCTAATCACCAGGTGCTGCTGCCCTGACCTTTTCATAAGAACATGAGCTCACCTGGGTGGAGAGGGACACCATGGTCTCAGCTGGAGAAGTTCTGGATTCTGTGGGTAATAAAGAGTTATTATTAATGATTCATGGACCCTGAAGTCCTGTCTGATAGGCTTCAGCTTCAGAAGCAGAATACAGTTCATCCTGACATTACTTAAAAGGACTTTAAGTTGGAAATAACCAAATGTCCAGCCCTGAGGGACTAGCTATATAAATTATGATTAGCCTTATACTGCAATAGTCTTTAAAAATAAATTAGAAAAATGTTGGGGATATGATATATGACAAGAAAAAGTCCATATAGTTTGATCCAGTTTCTAAAGAAACACATTTAAGTCATTATTTCTATATCATATCATATTATATACCATAATATATACTCACATAGTTAGAAAAAAATGTAATCACCAGACATAAGCCCTATCAACATTTTACTTTGCTTCTATTTACCTTTTTGCAACAAAAAAATATTTAACATAAACAACAAATTCTCATCTCCCTGGGTGGGCTGACTATGCTTTGCCCACGTGGACCGGGCACTCTCCCGCGCTTCGTCCCCCTCCATGGGAAAGTGTCTCTGCAGAAACCCCCAGGGCAGCAGGAGACCAAGTATCAAAGCCATAGCACCGCCCAAGGCCAGGCTCTGTGGCACATGGGGGCCCAAGGGACCAGGAGCTGAACCATGACACGCAGTGGGTGGAATGCTCTGGATTCTAACATGTTTTCTTTTCAGTTCATCATTTTTCCATCAACAAGTTAAAAATACCAGAGATGGTTTACACAAAGATGTTCGAGCCTCCTGGAAGCAGGAGTAGAATGAGGACAAACAAGGGGGCAGAGGAGAGGGTGACCCTGCTTCTGCTCAGGAGACACTTTCCAGCTAGAGTGTGCCATCCCCAGGTGAGAAAACCACACGCTAGCAGCACTGGAGGGGACACAAGGGTATGTTCACCCTCCCCACTGTGCAGGGAAGAAACAGAAGCCCAGAGAAGGAAAGCAACTTGTCCAAGGTCACACAGCAAGTTAGCCCAAACCTAGGATAAATGGGAGGGATCCAGTCTCTTATTCCTCTGTGCTCCTCCCAGGCCTGCCTAGCAGAGAAGTTAGACTCGCAAAGCATGCACTGAGGTATGGGGGTACACAACGCTAAGACCAGGAAATGGGGGGTAGTGCTGTCTGTATTTTATTCAGTCCAGTGGTTCCCAAACCAACCATGTTCAGCACCATCTGAGGCCTTCGACGTCCCATCCTCAGAACTTTGGGATGGGGCCCAAACATCAGGGTTTCTAAAAGGCTCCCTAAACCCAGAGAGATGTTCCAGGAAGAAGGGGAGAACCCCAGAGCTTCTGCCCTCAGCTCTGACCCCCAGCGGGGCATGTGGTCCAGAAAAGGATGTTTAACCTTTGGGGGCTCAGATATCCCCGGGGGTAAACTGGGAACTTCATCTTGAATAACCCAAGAATGTTACCAGAATGAATAAAATGTATAAAATTAAGTCTAAGTAACAAAGCTTTTCTAAAACTAGATGACCATGGGGACCCCTGATTTGGACCATTCCGCCCCCCAGGATGGAAAATGGAGCAACTTTCGTATCATTGTTAATAATAATCATTTCCATTTTACAGACAAAGAAACTGGGGCTCACAGGGAAATAAGATCAATAATACTAATAGCACCCTAATAACTATGACTGGCACCGCGGCACCAACCTTTGTTAGGCCTACTGCACACCAGCTCCAAGTGGTCCCTTTGCCTGCAGTGCCATCTCATTCCACCCCTACAGCGCCACACAAGGTAGATACCATTATCTCAGTTTTCAGAGAACCTGAGGCTCAGAAAGGCTATGCGATGTTATCATCACCAGGGAGCACCTTTTTTTTTCTGTTTACACAAAAGTATGTATAAAATCCTCCAGCATTTTATATTTCTTAATGGCACACTTCAACCAGCAAGTTGAGGGGAGGAGGAAGGAACTCCCACTTGCTGGCTCCCTTTGTGCCCCCTGGGTGCCAAGAAGGGACAGTGGCAGTGATAATGGGGGTGGTAGTGAAACAACAACAGCGACAGTGGAAACACTAACACTTACTGAGCACTTACTACATGCCAGGCACCATTCTACCCATTTTACAGATGAGGAAACTGAGGCACAGGGCGCTTCAATATAGCTTGTCCAAAGTTTCATAAGAAGTGATAAAGCTTTCTGGCTCTAAGAAATAACTTCTTTTCCTTTAGTTTAAAAATCATCTCCAGGTTGAACATTTCTCAGATTTAGGGACTGTATCTTACTCATCTTTGTGAATTCAGTACTTGACACATCTTACCTGGCCTCTTGCTAAAAAACTTTGTAGTTAGTAAAATGTCAATGATGGAAAAATCACTTGGAAAAAAAGACTATTAGGAACATTACAGTGGTTGCCATGGTGTGTTTTCCCTGTATTAATATTTCCAAGATTGGGAGAGGTAATTTTATATTCATAACAAAATGAATGAATGGCCATACTCCAATAATTGAGATTAATAGACCACATGAGTTGGGGAGGGCTTTTTATATGAATTTTAAAAATTTGTATGAAAATGTCATTTCTGTCGACTTGAGAATTGGTTTGGTTTTGCTTGCTCAGGATTTGGAATGGAGAAAGCCAATGTAAAGGATCGCAGAGGCCTGCTTCCCAGTCATAATACAAGTTGGTCACAGGGACGGCAGTGCAGCATGGAGAATAGAGTCGGTGATACTGTAAAATCGAGGGGGTGAGGATTTAATAATATGGTTAACTGTTGAACCACTGTGCTGTCCATTTGAAACCAATGTAAGATTGTGTATCAAAGATACACATGCCAGATATGAGGCTTTCATGCCAGATATGTAGCTTTGGTCCCTAACCTCTTTTAGACATTATTTCCTCATTTCAAATCAAAGGGAATGGCTTCTTCCTGGACACATCACCTGCGATCACATGCTGAAGGCACCTACCACTGGACTGGGACACAGTAGTGTTTGTTTAAAAACTGACCTGACTCAAAATTAACAACAGAGAACATAAGTTCTAGGAATGCAATGGTGACTATAGTTAACAATACTGTTTGTATATTTGCAAGTTGCCAAGAGAGTAGATTTTCAAAGTTCTCATCACAAGAAAAAAAACGTGTGCCATGTATGGTGATGGACATTCACTAGGCTCAGTGTGGTGGTCATAGAGCAACATGTACAAGGATCAAATCATTATATCGCACACCTAAACCCAATACAGTGTTTTATGCCAATTACATCTCAATAAAATGGGGGAGGGGAGAGCAGAACATAAAACATGTTTTTCTAACAAAATATTTTAAATTGTGTATTATGACCAGTTAAGGGCAAGGTTCGGGGGTTAGAATACAGGGAGGGAAAATAGGAGTGGGCTGAGAATGAAAAGGGGGGAAAGAAAGAAAAAGGAGGGCACAGGATGGCAGAGAGATGAGGGAACCAAGAGAGAGGGATGAACCGCACAGCCAGGCGCCCACAGGATGGCAGGGACAGGGGGCCCCACAGGCTGAGCAGCGCCAGGCAGCGCCTTGCACTTCTGAGCACACTACTTCACACCCTACACCGCCTGTCAACCACCAACCAGAAAGATAATCACTGCTCCTCCACTCGTTGAAGGAAAAAAACCTCACTGAAGAGCTGGCCGTTTCTTGAAGAGAAATAAACCCCCTCCAGCTGGGTCCCAAGCATGTCCAGGACTGTCTGTAGAAACGTGTGCTGGCCTGAGGCCACAGGAGGGAACCATAGACAAGGCGTTGTGGACAAAACCTGGTATAGGATTGCCAGGGTCCTTCATTCGGAGCTTCTGCCCTTGTTTCATCCTTTCTTTGATGAAATAATGGAGATGGTAAATGGCAACAGCTTTTTACCTAATTACTTAATTTTTTTATCCTCACTTAGCAAAATTAAAAGTTGGTGACCTCATTTGGTCCCCAAATTTCTTTTTGAAATTTTACAGACCTGTGGAATCCCAAAGTTTGGGAACCTCTGAGCTATGCACAGAGGTCTGAGGGGCAAAGAGGCTGTGGGAGGAGGTGATGCGGAGGTGAGCATGAAGAAGAGCGGAGCTCGAGAGATGACGTGGCAGGGGGTGGAAGGACCGGGTGCCAAGGTGCTGGGCCAGGTCCAGTCCAGCTGCAGTAAATGAAGTAAGTGAGGGAGGGGCAGGCATGAGGGAGAGGTGGGCAGGGACGGCTGGGGAAGGGCCTTAGGACCTTGAACTTCACCCAGAGAGCAACAGAGGGCCGTGGCTGTAAGCTGGGGAGTGACAGTTGCACACTTATGCTTTAGAAAGACGCCTGCAGCAATGGGGTGGAGGACGCATGTCGGCTCACACACCAGAGACAGGCAATCAGTGAGGACAGGATATTGCACAGATTATGTAGAGATGTGACAAGATCTAGAACCACAGGAGGAAGATGTCTAGCCTGGTGTCCTGGAGATGTCCTACCTAGCTCAGGTGGTGGTGCCCTTCACTAGACAAAGAATGTAGGGAGGTCCGTCCGGGAAAGGACAGTGATGTGTTTAATTAGAGTCATGCAGCGCATGAGGCACAGGCAGCAGGTCTGGGCCGAGCAGAGACATGAACCCAGAGTTCAAAAGACAGGCTTGGCCTGTAGGCACAGCTGAGTGACGAATGCTGCTATTTACCATGTGCCAGGCTCTGTGCTAACCATCTTCCATCTCATTTAATCCTCACAACAGCCCTGTGAGGCAGGTGTTTGGTTTGGGGGAGTTTTCTAAGAAAGGCATTATTATCCCCACTTGACAAATAAGCAAACTGAGGCTCAGTCAGGAACTTCCCGAAGCCCACACCAGCAAGGGGCAGGGCTGACAGCAAACCCAGCTCTCTGAGAGAGCGCTCGGCACAGGGCTCAGAGCGGACACGGTGGAGAACAGTACAAGGGCTGACGGCAGGGGATGCCCCGCGGAGGGGTGGTCGGGACAAGGTCTCTTCAGACTGTATGCCAAGTGCTCTCCACCTGCAGACTCCACACCCCGAGTGCCGACAGGAGGAACCAAATGAATTCC